GTATAGAATATTATTTATATTATTTTGAATAATGTTAGTAGGCAGATGTTTTGCACTTACAGAAAGTATACAGATAAAATTTATAAGAAAATTATTAAATGTCTCTATAGATCTAAGCCTGTATTCAATTTAATAGAAATAGCTTTTTTATAAAGACTATTTGTAATATCATATGCATAACAAAAATCAAATGTTTTTAATTTAGTATCAAAGAAGATATTATAATTCAAATAAGTCAATATTGGAATTGATATGGATTTATAAACCAAAACAGAATCACTGTCTTGATAAGTAATTAATGATTGAGATTATAGTAATTTATAAGATTTTAAATAATTGTTATCTGTATACCAATGCTGTAAAATTATGAGAATATAAAAAGCTGCAAATAGTGAAACTATTATAACTTTATGAAGTATCTATAATGAAATCTCTAAATGTATACAAGTACAAATATAAGAGCTATCCTCAAATATAATGATATAATTTTTGTTAGTTGCTTAATATCAAATGACTTCTCAAATTTTTTGAATAGATAGTAAAATAAATCTATAATTTTATTAATACTTGTAGTTAGAAAATCATTGAGATCTTCAAAAAAAATCATATCCATTATGTTTTTTTATAAAATATATATTTATTTTTTCTTGAAAATCAGTGTTGAATTATATCAAAGTGCTTTTTCTATTCAACTTATTGAATAGATAAAGCTGATGGTATTAAAAATTGTGCAATCTACTTATCATTTTCAGGAAATAGTTATGCTAATACTGTTATACTTGTAGACTTTATATAAGCTTCAGACCAATTGTTATAACAAATGAATATTGATTCTATACAAGTTGGCTATCTAAAACATTCAAAATTTATATAAATTTGTCTTGCTTATTAATATGAATTTTATGATTCTATTAATGCCTTCTACTCTTTGTATTAACTAAATGCTTATAGCAGTATTATTAAATATTTCATAAATAATTATTAACTAAATAACTTAACCTTTATAAATAAGGCTATACAAATTTGATATTTTGGTTTTTATAATCTAAAACTTTTAAATAAAATTGAGCTAACAAGGTTATGAAAACCAATTAATTAGTTTTGTATAATCTAATAATTTAACAAAATTTATTTAAAAAAAATAAATAATAATACTAATTGCAAATTTAATAAAAATAGTACTAAACCTGTGATGAATTTATATAAAATCCAGGCTAATGCCTATTATTCTTTAGTGCTATAAATTATTTGTTAAAGATAATCTTTTATAGTTAGTTTTTTGTTAATAAGTGATCTCTACTCAGACTTAAATTTATACTTTGAAAGATTATTGTATACTTTATACTAGATATTTATAAAATTATTCTAATCTAATCCAAGCTTGCCTTTTAAATTCTTTGGAAGATTTTGTGCAATATAATAAATACAGTTTATCTGATAAGTTTTAAACATTATATATTCAATAGCAGCTTCATTTGCAAAATTAGAGTCTGTAACAAAAATGTGTAACTGATATTTAGTAGACTTTAGAAATTTAGAAAGAACATATTTGAAACTAGGGTTGATCTTTAATATACAGTAGGTGGGCATATATAATTATTATATAATTATAATATATATAACTTAATTATTTTGAACTAATTTAAGTAATTTTATAAATTATTAGTGTCAGAGTTAAGATTAGAGTTTAAATTGTCTCAAATTAGTTAGGTTTTATATAGTATAATCTTGTAATAATTTATATATGCCCACCTATACTAAAGGAGATTCAAAACTAGAAGTAGTTTCATTATTTATTAATGTCTAAACAACAAAATAGCTTTTATTGTAATTATTTATATATACAAAAAGGCTAAGTACTATATTAAAATGATTTGTACTATAGAAGTTATGATTCAAGATAATATTATTATAATAAATTCAAGTTTCAACTTGCATTGAATTTATCTATAGAAGCAATTTCAAAGAATTAGAAATAGGCTCTAAATGCTAACAAACTATTCAATTAGGATCTTGCACTTTATTTTTGAGAAATGTTTCAAAAGAATAAAGGCTTCATTATCAATTGTATTATATTATTTAAATAATTAGATAATTTGTGATTAAGAAAGAATATAAGGATAATTATTCATAAGTAGAGTAAGTTGCATTTATATATTAAACCCTTTAGAAAAGTAATACTCAATTTCTTGCTTCACATTATCAGAAAATTATCAGTAATAATAAGTAAAAATAAAATTATCTGGATGAATATCATGATTATGCTCAAGATTGCAGAAAGTAATTTTGATTACTCCAGTTGTTTTTGAACAGCTTTAACTATTTCATTCTAACTATTTAGTACAAAATTGTTTTTGCTCTTTTAGAATAACTATTTTTTTTAGATTTACTTATACTTTGATGTTCACAGATATATTTACATCTTCTATATATAATTTCATCATATTCAGATCCAAGAATGATAGTTACAAAACCATTCTGTTTTACATATACTCAAATATGATGATCAAATTGTTTCTAACTTAAAAATATTAAACCAGAAATAATATTAATCTGTTTCTTATTTTAGTTTGTTTTAGATATACTACATTAGTCAATATATCATTCTTTTATAGAATTTATAACAGGTATATCAAATATAGAAAATCCTTGCTATTGTTTAGAATATATAAAAAAAACTTTTAAATTAAGTGCTAACATATCATTACATAAAAAAGATTGTGAATATTGAAATTATTGTTGAGAATAATGGCAAGTAACTAGTGAATATGATAGTGCTAAAGTTTCATATATATTAAGTCACCCTAAATAGTTTTATTATTATATTATGTAAATTGGTTTAATAAAACAGACAAACAACCTGTGCTTTTAAATAAAATAAAAGAATCATTAGCAAGATTGTATAAAAACATTTACAGTTAACAAGTAACATAATTATTTGATATTAATCAAATTAACCAACACTTCAATAACTTAACAACTTATTCCTTTGGTCCTATAAATTTAATTTTTATATGCTCAAGTGCTTATTATTTTCTGGGTAATATGAAGAAAAGATCAACAAGACTATAAATAAACTTTTAAATAATACCTGATATTTATTTGTTTGATATATATTACTTCAGTGTTGTCTTAACTTTAGTTACACCTTTTGTTCAAAGTTTATTATATTATAAACCTAGACAAAAAAGAATAAATTATTTTTCAATCACATATTACAACCAAAATTGTTAAGAACACTGTAAATAAGCCTCAATTATCAGATTTTTTAGTAATACATTTGTTAAGAACTTTGCAAATAAGACTCAATTACTAGATATTTTAGTAACATGTTTGTTCTTCACTAATCCAATTCTTGTGCACTAATCTGCTGGATCTTGTTAATTACAATATAAAACTAAATGAAAAATAATTATGCTTAGATTATACTTACCATAAACAAGGCTGTAAAAAAAATTTACCTTATCACCTGATATTTGATTGTTTGGTACAGTATTGTCAATTGTTTCAATGTTATATATTTTTTTCATTCTATATATTGTATATTTTTCTTTTATTCGCATTTATTAGATTTGTATATTGATAAAATAAAAAAAAAACTAATGATAATTCTGATCATATTTCAGCTTAGAAAAGACTATAAAAAAAAACTTACCAATCACCTGAAATTTGATTGTTTTATCTTATTACCACCTGTTTTAATTTTTGTTTTGTTCTCTACAAGAATATTCATATATCCACTTATTACACTATTATATTAGATAAATAAAAAGGACTAATTATTGCTTTGGACATACAGTTAGACCTCTGTATAATTACAAGTTGGTCATGTTCTAATTTGTTGATTGTATAGAGGTGTGACTATAAACAAATATCAGATAAATATCACATGATCTTTAGCCAATTAATAATTAATTAGTCATGATCATCCTACATTTAAAAGTTTTTTTTGTACTAAATTAACCACCTTTGAATCTTTAAATAAAGTTGTAAAGCTCATTAATATGAATCTAATGGTGTTAAATCGTCAAAATTGACCTGGTGGTGCTGAGATATCTTAGAAAAACTTTTTGCTGTCTATATAAATTCTTTAAAGAATTTTTCTATAGTCAACAAAACATTTTTTGAAGATATCTCAGCATCTACTAGGCCAATTTTGATGATTTAACCACCATTAGATTCATTTTAGTAAGCTCTACAACTTTACTTAGAGACTCAAAGGTGGTTAACTTAGTCAAAAAACCTTTTAATTAATAAATTAGTGATTATAAAGAGGTTTTTATTAATAAATTGGATTTAAAAAATTAAATTTTAATGTGATAGTGATTATAAGTGATTTGTGACTATAATGAGGTTTTTTTACTTTGTTTAAATCTGTTACACAATATTGGGTGCTTATATAGAGGTGTGACTATATGGGGTGTGATTATAGAAAGGTCAGACTGTATTTGAGTGCCTCCAAGGGAAAACCTGTCATTGGACTTTCAATTATATTTTGTGTACAGTTAGTCGTCTATGAAAAATCTATCATAATGATATATTTTTCATAGATGACTAACTGTACACAAAATATAGTTGAAAGTCCGATGACAGGTTTTCCCTTGGCAGCACTCATTTGACATAAACAAGATCACGAAAAAATTTTCTTGGTCACCTGATATTTGATCATGCAGTAATGCTCAATATTCATTCAGCTTTATACAGTATGTTACTTTAGTTTCTTGCAATTATTTTTTGTATGATTTTTCTTGCACTTCAGTTGTCTCTACTTTTTAGATTATTATGTCAAACTGTAAAAAAGCAAATCATAGTTTTAATCACGTCTCTTATATTCCGTTTTCTAGCAGATCAATTAATCTACAAATCGGGTAACAGTAAATAATATACTTATGTACGTACATATGTTTGTATTAAATCATTTCTGCATATTTTAATTTCTGACAATCTGGGATATCCTGAAAGTTCATGAAATGTAAAATGGTAAAATGTAAATTTCAACCCTAGCTTGTGCAGGCTGCGCAGTCTGCCGATTTTCCCATCTTTACATATGGGTGCCGTCAAGGGAAAACCTACAATCGGGCTTTCAAGTATATTTTGTATACAGTTGGTTATCTGTGTGCCGTCTATGGTAAAACTATCATCGGACATAGATTTACCATAGACGGCACACAGATAACCAACTGTACACAAAATATACTTGAAAGCCCGATTGTAGGTTTTCCCTTGACGGCACCCATATATTATATAAATTTCAATTTTTATATGTTTTACTATAAAAAAAGCTATCGGGCGTTACTTTTGTTGCCTACTATACATGCATTTGGTGGATTTTTAAAACGTCCAATGCTGATACCAGGCATAAGTTCTTCATGATAATTTCGATGAAACGGTTCGACCAACCCGTAGTCAATAATCACAGGAAAACCCCCAAATACAGATGGCAAATCAAAGTGTAATGATGACCCTTTTGGTAAATTTAAATTAACAATAATAACTTCTTTCTCATCAACCATTTCAATGGTTACTCCAGATATTTCATCCCTTCTAAATTCCTTTTCGAAAGCATGCCGAGCAAGAAAAGTTTTTTGAGAACTGCTTCATCTTGAATTGAGTGAACTTTTTGATCATCTAATCGTTTCAATTTATCTTCAAATTCTTTTTTTTCTTCTAAATTGATACAGTGAATTAGAAAACTAATCCCATATTTCATTTTTAAAAGTAGAATTCACGATTGCTAAATGTCACTGCATACAACATTAAAGTGCCATTTATACATCTGGGCTAATTTTTGTTTGTACCTAAATTTAAAGGTTACTGACCGATCGGTTGTGATTAGATGTTGATTTGAAAGATATCACATAGAGATCCGATTTATTGCCGAATTTATTAATAAAAAAAAAGAAATCAGTTGAAGAGTGGAGTAATTAATTAGATTTAAGTTTTAATATGTAATTTGTTAAATTTATTACTTTACTAATGTTCTAACAATATATGTTTAAATAGTCACAAATGATTATAACTAATTTTCACCCGTGGTGATATCACCCGGTATTATAAAATTTTTATTAAAAATTAAATAACCTT